GACCTAATTAAGTAAATGTCTTGGATTAATTAAGGAATCCAAGTAAGATAAGTATTGGACTACCTTTAAAAGGTAATGGAAAACAATTCAAGTGAATAGATCAACCCTAAGCTATGTCAATACCTGAATGACATAGATATTACTGGAACATGTGTTCATCTTCTCAAGTTTGGCTCGATGATAAATTTTGGAAGTATTCAACTCAGCTCTAGATTGTATTCAGTACTAAGAATTGGACGTTTGTTCACAATCAACCACGAAGACCAAATTGAATGGGATGGAAGTACAACATGTATCTGAAATTCAGGAACGTTGAATACTCTGGAAAATTCTGAAGTAACTGGAATGGAGATGACTGCTAAATGAAATAGGTAACCTCAATGACTGAGGATTTAGTAAGTGATTTGGATAAGTCTGGAAACTCTGATGAGTTTACGTAGTGTACAATTACAATGGGTTATGAACAAATTAATCAAGTACGTCAACATTTCATGATATTGTGGAAGTGTGGAAATGAAATAAAGTCATTGGAGATTTATTCAGCGATAATTCCGAAAATGGTCTACGGACAAGAATTTGTGGTATTAAAGAGTAAATACCCTAGAAGGAAAATGAATTGACCAGTCGACATAGATTGTTAAGGTTATGAATCTTCGTTCTCAAGTTGTTCGATTATCCGATCAATCGACATGGATGTAAAGGATTCTGATACCCTTCTGATTACGTACAGCTTCTGAAAACTGTCCGAATAAGATAATATCCTGATAATTCACATTCTGAATAACTGATGATTCTGTCAGTTAATGAACTCTTTCAAATAGTGATTCTAAATTCCGATATCCTATCGGTATACTGAATATTCATGTTTCTCTACCTGTTAAGATTATCCAATACCTCTGAATAATATCTGTAAACTCTGGTGTGTTCCCTAATCATATAAATATTTTATCTGATTTCCGACTTGAATTCTATTATGATCCTGACCTGGATTCTGATCTGATATTGACATGGATTCTGATCTGATACATGACCTGGATTCTGATATGATACTTGACTTGAATTATGTTTTGATTTTTGATATATCCGTTTACGGACGGAACATGTTTTATTGGGGGGTATTGTTGGAGGAAGATTACTTGGAGGTTCCTCGGCTGTGTGCTCAGGGCCTTACTTACCGGTTCCTCGGCTGTGTGCTCAGGGCCTTACTGTTAGTGACGGGGTTGTATGGTTCTGGGGAACCTACACATTTTGTTCGTGACGGATGGGGGTATATATATATATGTTTTAAAAAGATCTGAAAAGTTACATGGTTTTTTTTGGGAACACACTAGAGAAAACCTATTCTGATCTCCTGAACTCAGTCATCCGAAATATTTCTCTGAAACGAAAGCTCATTGTCCGTTACTACCTGAAATATCAGTAGGATCTTTGCTCAACATAAAAATCTGTAAATATCTGAACCAATAAGGAAAATATGTTTATCTGTATCTGCACGTTTTTCAGCATCATCTGGTAGTTTTGTATTACTGAGCTTTTTGAAGCTCACTCTATTACTCACCTTTTCAGGTTAAAAGAATTGTACCAGTGCATCTATCGACTTCAGTAAGGGAGTTTTTCCGGCGTTGTAGCAGAGTATGGTACATGTGAATAGGGGGCATGTAATTGTATTTTGATTTATATACGAGTCTGGAAATATTTTATTTTTAAATAGTGACAAATGATTTTATAAGTTTACATGTTCGGATAAAAAGATTTAAATTTTCCGCTATTTTTACAGTGGGTCGCTCCGGTGGCCCTAATGTGACTTCCTGGATCGGATCGGGCTACCTGCATCGGTCTGGGGGGTTACACCCATTGTACAAAAAATGTTCTTGAAAATATTAGAGTAAAAAAAGTGTTAAAAATGAATGAAACAAACATTTTGTACAATCATTCGAAACCAATTCCCAGGAGAAAAGAATACATACATACATAAATAATATGAATAAATATATAATATCCATACATGGTAAAATTTAAGGAAACAAAATCTAACATACGCAAAAATTAAATTATAGTTGTAAAATAAACAGAAAATAAAACACAATAATTAAACAAATAAAATTAAAGTAGTAAAAAAATAAAGATATAGAAATAAATGATTAGAACATTAAAGCAAGTAAAATATAAAGACTGAAATTAAATAAAAAATAAAAAGACATAAATTTAAAAGTGCATAAAGTTAGATAACAAAAATAAAATACAATAAAAAATAAAAAATAAAATGTTTGCATCGAATTTTATTATTTATCCCGAACTATAAATTATGCGAGTCATACCCCAAGGTAGGTCGTCGTAAGGTCGTATATGGTTCAAACATTAAATAAAACAAACAAATAAATAAAAGGTTAGCAGTTAGAAAGGTTAGCTATTAGAAAAGTTCGTGGTTAGTGGTTAGTAGAGTCTGAACCATCATAATGTGAATCATACCCCAGATCGGGTCACCACAAGGTCAAATCGAATAATTCAAACAAATTAACAAAATAAAAAAATAGTGGTTAGCAGAGTCTGAACCATAATAATGTGGATCATACCCCAGATCGGGTCACCACAAGGTCAATTCAAATATGACAAAAAATAAATAAATAAATAAACAATGGTTAGAGTGCAAGAAAATAAAAGTCATTGATTAATATGCAATAAAATAAAAATTAGCAATTAATTCAAAACATAAAAAAGCATGAATCAGTGACTAAATTAAAATAAAGTAAAATCAGCATGCATATTCAGAATAAAATAATAAAAAAGTGACCAGAGTGCAAAAAAGGCTAAAATACAGAGGACTTAAAAGTGAATTTCCCCTATAATGACCAAAACGTGAAGTGGCGCTAAAACTGGGAGGACTAATGGGAGATTAGCCCCTAAAATAAGTTACCAAAATGCAAGAAAACCTAAAACTCGGGGACCTTGGGTAATTTACCCAAAAAATCGAATCAACCCACCCCTTTTCTTCTTCTCTACGCACGACTACTGCTAAAAAGCCACGGCCATCTTCACCGACCAAACGACGGCCACCATAAACCGGTGGTCCTCACACACCCCAACCAACACCGAATTAAACCGAAGCCTAAACTGACTCAAAAAAGAAAACAAAAACACCCCCTCGAATGAAACCCGAATGCCCTATGTGGGCATCGTTCGTCCTCCGACCATCATCGATGGTGGTCGGGACTCTAAACTAAACCGACTAAACCATGACTCCCCACCAGCGATGACGAACCACGACCAAGGCCAACACCCTCACAACATTTACGTATTGATATTTTTTTTAAAAAAAGAAGAAAAAACGAAAGCAAGAAAAAATCGTGAAGGAGAGAACAAGAGTCCCACTTTATTATTTGATGCTTTAAAATTTACAAAACGGAGGGGTGGCCGTTTTTTTTGCAAACTGATACGCTTTTAAATCCCCACATATTACAAATGGGTAAAATTATTAGCTTAGTCCCTAAATTTTGTTCCCTCTTTAATTTTTGAACAATGGTAAAATTGCAAGTTTGGTTCTTATATTTTGTTCCCTCTTTAATTTTAGGACAAAATTAGGGTATTACACCATCTATTTTGGAATAAAATAATATCATAATATTGTAAATATTTATACTTAAATTTAAATAGAAACTTGAAATTTTGACTCGACTCGAAAAATTTTTAAGTCAACTTCGAGTTATGAAATAGGACTCGTCAATTCGAATAACGCAAAAAATTATTCGACTTGATCGAACTCTCAACCCTACTTGTGGTTGATCTGATCATGATATATGAGATTTGGGTATTTAAGGATTTTATAGTTTGTTGAGGATTTATAGAATTTAGGGGATCTTTTGGGAGAATTAAGGATTTTAAGTTCTAATAATTGAAATTAAAAATCACGTCGACTGTCATGCATTTATTTTTTTATAAATGTTGATGATTCATATAGGAATAAAACCTTAAACACTTACATTAATTATAATAAATTTTAAACTCTAAAATAAATGAGATGTATAATTTAAATAATTACTTTTTTTATTAATTTATTTATACTTCTAGTATTTATGGTATTTGAACTATTAAAAAACATTAATATTTCCGATGTCTTTTCTTATTTTTTATGTTAGGTTGTCGTACTGCAGAACTACCCGAAGTGTAGTAGGAGCATATGTTAGGAATGTAAGTTGATGCAGCCCATGTGTTTAAATTTCAGATAGGAAAAGACATAAAGTTAAACTAGTATAATGGTCAAGTCCTCCCTGTCAAATACCAGACCCTGAAGGTCTTATAAGTGGCTTTTCGACCTAAATATCACCTTATTTTTCTAATATTTCCGATGTAACACCATTTTTCCAATATTTTCTAAAGTTGCACCCATTCGGCTGATGTGGAGCTAAGGTGCATCTCCAGTGCAGAGCCTTCGCGGGATTTGCTGATGTGGAGGGTAAGACACGTTTCAGGGGAAGCTCATTCCATCTGATGTGGCGCCACGGTGGAAAGAGTGTTTCAAGGGGGCGCATATAAAAGATTTTTTCTTTCAAATATGAATCATTCATTCAAATATATTAATTATTCTTTTGAATATTTTAATTATTATTTAAATTTAAAAAGTGAAATTTACTCCTCATTCTACTGCAAAATTAAGTCTTATTGTGGAAATATTTTTGAAATAATTTCAATTGTAATGTCACTTTCATTGTGAACTTTAATTTGAATATGAAGTTGACTTTGAATTTCGAATACAATTTTAAATTTTAATTGGAATATTAAGTTGAAATTGAATTTACATTTTAAAAACATTTAACAAACATTTAACATTTACAAACATTAAACATTTAAAAAAACATTACATAATCTAAACATTTCAAGTTGAATTTAAAAAACATTACAAATTTACATAAAATTTTGAAATACAACTATTAATATTATCTTTCAATGGATCAACTATGTCGTCTTCTCGAATGAGTTCCACATGGCGGTGGTTGTATATTTCGCTAAGGATTTCTTCGTATAACTTCCTCTTCATTCTCCTTATCTTCACTATCATCATCATCATCTACATTTTGTTCATTTGGCATGGATGACAATGAAGGGCATGTATAAAATAACGACCCTGGAGGAGTATTACTAATTATCCCACCACTCAAAGAAAAGTGAGAAAACTGTGAAAATATTGACATCGATGTATGTGATCCATATGGAGGTGGAGGTGTTTGTGGAGGAGGAGAACTATCAGCCAAATAAGATGTATATGAACCATATGTTGGATCATTAAGCATAGCCATATATGCACCTCCATGGGGTGTCATAAAACCTTGCGGGCTAGGAATATAACCTTGCGGGCTGGGTATGTACCCGTGTGGGCTAGGAATATAACCCTGCGATAGTGGCATATGAACTGTTGGGTTGGCCATATACCCCTGCGGAGGTGGCATCTGAACTGGTGGGCTGGGCATGTACCCCTGTGGGCTCATAATCGGTAGAGATGATAGATGTTGTGATGGTTTTAGTGGTGCAGCTGATGTCAAACCGGTAGCGACTGCTCTCCGTCCACAAGTCAGGGGATGATGATATTGTGACAATGGACGTCTATCTCGGTGCCTATGAATTCTCACCCCTCATGCTTCCTCCGCAAGTAGGAATGGCTTCCCGTTTTCATTTAAACACTGCAGAAAGTTATCCGTAACTATCTGACCAGTTTCAGCATAAAACTGTCAAGGGGGGAAAGCGTTGATATCGATTTTCCCAAATCACAATCCAGTCTCTATGCTTCACCACCCAGTTGACCTCTTTTTTCCTCGCCTGTGTATGTTATGCATATTGTCTAAATTGATAGGTGTTTGAGGAATATATTACAACAAAACTGAAGGAGAAAACGATCAATCGGATGCCACTCAACAATATAATAACATATCATAGGCAACTCTGGCATCCAAACATCTAATGGCCCACTCAAGTGAGGTGGGATGCAAGCCTTTATTTCATCGCTCGCATAAGGTATCCACTGAAACTGATAGCAGTTATATATAATTCTTATCAATATAATATTCTAATTATATCAAGCATTTTAAATTAAATTCTTCGTATTTAAAGACGTACCTCAAAACCATCTTTTTTTATCAATAATTAAACAAATATCCTCTAGTTCACTAGGGATATCTCTATGATTCTTTCTTCTCATCGACCATATATTTAATATAATATAAACATTATGTCATTATTTAATTAAAAAATATTTAAATCAAATTTAGTTTTGAAATTACCTTAATAATAATGGGAATACAAATGGCTCATTAACGATCGGGCATAAGAAATGCATGCGGAACCATGCTCATGATTGGAGAAACAAGAGACATCCACCGATAGCAATTTTACTATAATTCGTTGCACGGAACATTTCTCTAAAGAGAAATGCCAAAACTGCAGCCGTCCAACTGTATATTCCTTCTTCATCAAAATCAATAAGATGACACAACCACATACAATGCACCTATTACGAGATTTGTCGGGCATCAATATTCCTCTAATGATTCGTAGTATATATGCCCGAGCACATGCCTTTGCTTCATCCTCATAAGCATTTTCATTCAGATCTTCAAAATTGGCTTTTAGCCATGATAAAGATATCCGACCTCCATTGAAATCTGGCGGAGAAACTCCATGATACTTCATGCATAGTGAATGTCAATCACCATCGGCCACACCACACATAACATTTCCATCAACAGGGAGCCCTAAATGCATTGAGACATCCTCCAGTGTAATTGTACACTCTCCACATGGAATATGAAATGTGTGTATCTCCGGTCTCCACCTCTAAATTAATGCGGAAATTAGGGTAGGTTTGATTTTGCAACCGCCAACAACTTTCACAATATACCCAAAACCCGGCTGTAGACAAATACTTCCAAATATAATCAGGTGTCGGTATCTTCGTGTTTCGAATAAATGTTTCCAAAATACGATCATTTTCCTGATTAATAAACATTCCAAAATTTTAAAATTAATATAAATTCATGAAAAATTTTAAATTAAATTAAATATTAAACATTTACATAAATTTTAAAAAAATATTATCATATCACTAAAATGTCTTGAGATATGATTTGCATCTAATCGCAGCAGCATCTCGGTTTCTATTATAATTGTAGGCAAATAAATATAATTAGCACAAATAATTACTTAATTAATTAATTAATATAAATATATAATAAAAATATAAAAATATTTTAATAAAAAACAATATACTAATTTAAAAAGAATATAACAACTTTTTAAAGAAAATATACTAATTTAAAAATAAATTTATTACCAACTATTAAGAAATTTTTAACTCAAATAAAAGAGTAATTTGAGTTATATTAGATAGAAAGAATGATTTGGTGTGAAGAATAAGGGGTTAAAGAGGTTTATATAGGGGGAGGAGAAGGGGTTTAGGTGAGAAAATGGGTGGGAATTAATTGCGTATTAATGGAAGGTGCGTCCCCAGCAATGCTCCTTCTGACATGGCTCAGAATCCCACAAAAGTGTGCCCCCTGTAAAGTGCCTTACCCGCGTGGCAACCCAGTCAACAGAAACCTATGTAAGGAGCGTCCCCTGAAACGCGCTTTTTGCCTTTTCATCAAAAATCCCGGGAAAATGCTCTCTCGAAAACGCGCCTTATCTCCACATCAGCCGAATGGGTGTTACTTTGGGAAATATTGAAAAAACAATGTTACATAGGGAATATTAGAAAAATAGGGTGATATTTAGGTCGAAAAGCCATCAAAGGCCCCACTTTCTTTTTTTAGATTTAAAATCTATATTTATTTAATGTATGTTTAGTTGTTTACCATTCAACCTAACAGTGTTAATTAACTCTATGCTGCAACTTATAGAATCTTACATCACCTTGAGATGGACACAATATAATATTTTTATATTAAAAATGAATTTATAAATTTTAAATAATAAATTTATAATATTTTAAAAATAAAATAAAATACCAATAAAAATATTTTTTAAAAATAAAATTTAAAAAATTTAAAATTTCTAAGAGAAATGAATACCTTCGTCAATATTGCGAAAAGGTGTATATCTTTAAAAGTTGCCAGAACTTTATACAAATGCTTTTTTAGAATTGATATATAAATTAAAAACATCAATCAAAACATAAAGGAGATTGGTTGCTTCCCAATATTCAAAGTTAAAAATATTACTAGAATGGTGAGTAGATGTGCACAAAAAATTCGAATATTCGATTTTGCGTAAAAAATATATGAAACTGAATTTGGGAAAAACTGGTTTTTTTAAACCGGATCGGATATTTAAAAACCGGATAGTATAACCGGTTTGGGAAAAAATTGGACGATCATTTTTTTACTGGATTAAAAATCGGTTTGAAAAAAATCCGATAAAAAACCGGTTTTTATCTGAAAAATTGGTCTGGGGTTTTAAAAACTAGCCGTTAATATAGCCGTTGGGGGGTTTTGTGCTTTGATTAGCTTTTGGTTTGTGATAGGTGTGCGTGAAATGGAGCTTAAATGAGGATCTAATGCGATTAAGTGGAAGATAATGAAAGCTTGCAAGAAATGGTGATGAATGTGCTTTGATGAGAGTGTTTAAGAAGGAAGAACAAAGAAAACAAGACAAGAGTAGTGCTGCTCAGCATTACTCTCAAAGCCTTCAAGAGGAGGAGTAGAGACAGATTGCATAAGAGTAGTGTTGTTCACCACCACCGGTTTGTTTATATCCTGGTTTTTTAAAAAAATAGGTTTTTTTCAAACCAAAACCGGTTACACCATCCGGCCCTCTAAACCGGTTAGGATCCGTACCGGTTTTTTTAAAATCCGGTTTTTTGGTTAGGTGAAAGAACCGGATTGGTTTTTATCCGATCCGGATCGGTTTTTTATCTGACTTTGTGCATGTCTAATGGTGAGCCCTTACTTCTAAAGTATATATTTTTAGGATAAATTATTCAAATAAATTTAATCATCAATCTAATTTTTTTCTTCAATTAGATTACTTAATTATCAATAATCATATAAAAATAATAATAATTTTATTATTATTATTGTTATGGTTCCCTCCACATTCGATTCTATTTTTTAGTAATTATATTTAAAAAAAATATTCAATCAAATAATTGAGAACTTTTTAATAGAGCTAGAGCTTAAACTTTGGTCCACCAAATCATAGAAGATAACCGAATTCTTCGTTTATTGGTGAAAGCTGATGAAGTCGCTACCCAACTATTGGAATAAATAGTACAAACTCGGTTTCTTAATTAAAATTTAGCTAAAAATCTTATAAATAACAATAGAAAAATACTATTTTTTCCCATTTAAAAAATAATAATATAAATAATAAAAGGTGGGCAGTAGCCATGGGGAAGGAAAAAAATGAAACGAACATCCCTTTGACTTGCTTTTTTATCGAGTGGCCCGTGAACTGGTGTGCCTCCTTCAGGGAGCATACCCTATTGCTTTTTTTATCTAATACCCTATTGCTCATCGGGGTTATGTTGTTCAATGTTTCTAATTTTTTTTATGCAGACAATTTTTTTGCCTACTGTTGTGCTTAAACGAGTGGAGTAGACGTGCTCTAGATTTTTTTAAAGGGAAACGATGTAGCTGCTAGGCGTATTAGAGTGAACTGGAATAACGTTTGTGTCCTTATGTCTAAGGGTGGTATGGGGATCAAGAGTTTGAAATGTTGGAATACCGCATGCATGCTTTCCTTAATGAAGAACATTCTTGCTAGAAAAAGCTCTCTTTGAATTGCTTGAGTCCAAGTGTATGTCCTCAAGGGTGTTGATTTTTGGAAAATAGAATGTAAACCTAATTTCAATCGGAGTTTGAAGAAAATTATGAAGAGAAGAATTGAAGCTCAGCCTTTTGTTTGTTACTGCTAGCTGGAAAATGGTCCATTCGAGATGGATTTGGGGTGAGATAAGGGGGAAAAAAAGGAGAAAGTTGAGTGGCATATGTTGTTGTAATTTCTATGAACGTTCCTAAGATAGATTACCTACTGCTGATAGACTGGTTACGATGGTAATTTCTGTTGATGACCTTTGCAAGAATTGTGGTTTTGTGCAAGAGTAACGTAATCACACTTTCTTTACGTGTTCATTTACAAGAGAGATTTGATGTGTTATTCTTCTATTATGCAATGTTCATGAAAAGGTGGGATAAAGAACTTGGTTGGGCTGTGTGTTTTTTAAAGGGCAAGTCCTTGATTATTTTCATTCTCAAAGTAGTTTGATGTGCTTATATTTACTATATATGAGAGAAACTATAGACATTTTCGAGAAACTAATAAGTGTATTGGTGATATAGTTGATTACATCAAAGAAGTTGTTAAGATTAAAGTGTATCTGGAGATTGTTAGAAGTGGTCTTGTTAACTTGTTTCATTGTACACTTTGGGGATTCAAAATCTCGAACTGTTTTAAAATCTTGAAACGTTTGTTCTATTTT